TTATTTATCTACCCTTCAACTACCTACTACTTTCACGATCTAACGTCACTCACAAATGTGCACACCCATATCCATGTGCACACATACATATACACACACATGCAAAAACATTTACACAAAACTGGATTTTAACAATGTCGTTGTTTTATAACTGTTTTAGTAACTCATTTTTTGGTCATATTGACTGCAAAAAATAATTGGGGAAAAATGGGATTTTTAAAAAAGGACTGCGGGCAGTTCATAGTGATTAGGTATATTTCGGGAAGATAGATTAGCTCAGAGGAGAGGGGAGAATATAATGATCTGGTTTAGTTTATAAATCAAATTTTCTAGGTGAGAAACTCAGTTGAGGCTAATGGGACCACCTGGGTTCATATGCAGGGCTATTAACTCTACAGAAGTGGGGGACTCCACCCTTTGTCTCACAAATGAGTGTTGTTGTCATTAATGAGTCAGAATGTAGTTAGCTTTTACTGAGAATTTACTGAGTGACAGGTACCAGGCTAAGAGCTGGTTCAGTGAGAGCATGCCACCAGCTGCTCCTTTGGTAAATTAAACTCCAATCTTCTAAGAGAGGCTTCAGAGGGGAAAATCTCCTGTGAGAGTGGCAATGCCATCTGTCACCCAGATCTGCCATTGGATTCATAGTTGAGTCCTACGGAGAAGGAAGAGTTATATAGAGAAGTAAACATAAATAGGCGGTGTATCCTTACCCGGACTAAAGCAGCACGTGTGGTCAGGGATCTGAGAATGGCAATAATTAGTGAGAACTCCGAAGGGAAGGTCCATCTTCAGGGTTCAAAGTACAGGCTGGAAGTGGGGCCCTCCCTGCTTTTCCAAGCTTGAGAATTGAGCTTGATTGTGTTGAAGAGTTTGTAGATTTTTTTACACACTTAGACTTTAATCCATGCATCAATCTGATGAGGGAGTTACTTTTATGAGTCTCATTTTTGTTTCCAAGAATGAGAGTTTTAAAAATATTTGTTTTGTGTAATTACCGATTTAAGAGAATATGGATCATTCTGTGAAAGCTCATTACTGAGAAATAATTCAAAAGTTACATTTGGATGTAACGTGAGGAGTATCACGTTCTTAAGGGAGTCATCTTATGTCAGATTAAGCGAATGATCATCAAACCAAAGACAATCTCACTAGAAACACTTTGTGCCATCTGGATTACATTGATAATAACCAAGATTATGGTCTAAGCTTATTATATTATCTTACAAAGCTGGTAGCACAAACATCTCAATTTTTGTCACTCAGACCTAAGTCGCTTCACAACCAATGGTTCTAAGATTTGAGGATAAAAATTCAGAGCTGTTCAGTAGGCACTTTCTCTTAGAATCACTCTTTTAATGTTATTATCTAAACTCACACTAATGGGATAGAGGTCACTGAGCTTTGAACACTTGGTTTCTAGACTTGATTTCTCCCAGTGGGAATGCCTAATTAAAATTGTAAGATCACAATTGCCCCTTGGCTGTTAAGATACTAATACTGATTCTCCCCTACCCCCCACTTGGACCCACTAATGACAATTACTTGGCTATGATTAATACTGTGATCTGTGACCATGAGTAGCTTGAAATTAACTGGCCCACTTTGTAATCAAACCTCTTGACTCAATCAACATGTTGCCTTAACCAGCTAAGTCGTAATAAACGCATGTAAAGTATGTTAAAGAAAATCTCACAGCTAGCATATCATATCCATGTTCTCATCTACTTAGTGAAATTTGGGAGTTTATATGTTTTATCCTAACACGTATAGTCACCTCAGACCTATTAAATCCTAATCTCCCAAAGAGGCATTTTTTGTTCTTTTCAAAGCATCCCTAGGAAATTCTGATGTGCAGTTAAGTTGGAAATCACCAAGTCATATGCCACTCCCCTTTTGGAATTGCTTTTTAGTCTCTAGCACTCTTGCATAACCTTAATAGTTATAAACCTTCATTTCTTTGAGGATGGATTGCATTATTTTTTAATCAGCTCAAGGCAAGTCTGGTGAATACAGATGCCTTATTACAAACTTGGATAATACTAATTTTGGTCAAAAAATAGTAAGGATGCTTTCCTTAGGAGTATTGCAAAATGGTTTTGCAGGCAAACTTAAGAGGGTAGTTTTTAAAATGTGATGAACATACCATGTATGGACTTTCTTGGTTTGAAAGGGTACTCTCCTTAGCCTGCGCCCCCTTCATTCAGGTGTAGAAGTTGCAATAGGGTTGTGATAGTCTCACTAGTTTATAATCACACATACACACGTTTCCTATTGCTGTCTGCACTGGAACGAAATGCAGATTTTGTCCTTTTCCCCACTTGATTCCATGCTCTTTAGGTAAGTTTTCTCCATCTCTTTCAAACTACAATTCCATTCCATCTAAAAAATCATGAGAGCACAGCAGTCTCACTAGTTTATAATCACACATACACACGTTTCCTATTGCTGTCTGCACTGGAACGAAATGCAGATTTTGTCTTTTTCCCCACTTGATTCCATGCTCTTTAGGCAAGTTTTCTCCATCTCTTTCAAACTACAATTCCATTCCATCTAAAAAATCATGAGAGCACAGCTTTGTAACACTAAGATCAAGGGTTCAGATCCCTGTATCAGCCAACCACTGACGGGGAGGAGGGCAGAACCAGTCTAGTAAATTCAGAGAATGGCATTATATAGGAAATAAAACAAGATTAAGTCTACAGGTATTGATACCTGAAATCAGTTCTATAAACTTGTTACAAACAAAATAGTCCACATTTGCCATATCCACTAACATGCACAGCTCATATCAATTTTCTCTTGTGCAGGATCCATAAAAGTTTCACATATTCAGGTTTGCCAGAAACAATTCCAAATAAACCAACACAAACTTCCACCAAAATATTTACCAAGAAAATCTACCTTCAGAACCAAATTCAACTTATAAAGTTCTGTCCAGTTTGCCAAACAACCAGTTACTAGGGACACATTAACAGTCATTAAAATCGGTTTTTGGAATCAGAGACTTGGGCCCAAATTCCTGTACTCCATTAATTAGGGGGATCTTGCATGAGTGTTTATGTCATTAGGCCTGACTTTTTTCACGGAATCTTGGAAAGACCAAATGAGCTAATACTAGTAAAGTGCTTATCATAGTGATGGTATGTCAAGAGGGCTTCAAAATCAGCATTTAATGTCATCAGGAACAACCCAGCAGCTGGTCTACATTTTTCACTTTTTATCTAGTTGAAAATGAAAGATCAAATAATTTCTTCTTATAAAAGTCAAAAATATAATCCTCATACCACGAATATTATGTCATAACCCCAATAATGTGGCACAAATTTTGTCTTCTAAAGTTCAATTCTTTTAGGACTTTCAGAACACTTAGTGATCATTAAGCACATTCATCTGAGACTTACTGAGTGAATGCCTACACCCACCGCATACCAGACATTGCACAACTGCAGAAAGAATCCTGAGACTTAGAATTTTAATTTTCCCACACTGCAAGAATTCTTAATATGCAATAGTTGTATACATTATTTAAACTGTACTTTGTTATTGGAATATTGAAGTTTGATGATTTTTCATTAAGTTATTAAAAATATGGTAGTTCACTCTGAGCTCTTCACACATAATTCTAAAGCTATTTTTGCATGGCTCATTCGAGGTCAACTTAGACCCTAAGACTGAGGATCAAATTACTTAAATGACATGTTTACAAACTTGCCATTTCTAAAATTATTAAATGAATGGGGTTTCAAGACCTCCTACTTGTGCATGTTCCCAAGAGTTAGCTTGATGATCAATCTTTGTACTATTTTTTGTTAAATTTACTGTCATTCTTAGGTCTTCTCTTCCTTCTGGCTAAAAATCGATTTGGTATAGGAAAAGCACACAATAAAGAAAACATTTTTTTAAAACTGTAGACTTAAATTTAAATTAAGCATTTGTCCGTGTTACCCACTTATATAAAACTTTCACTACGATTGTGTGGGTGTGGGGAGTGTATTTTCTTTCAGATGGATAAATTTCTAGAATAGCAGCCATCACCTTCCCTGCTTTCCTTTCAACCAAAGTTGGTATCAGCAATTAATATAAAGCCAACAAAAATATGCAAAATTCCAAATTGAGGTGCTTCATGTATTACCTTTAACTGTAGTTTGCCATATTACTCATGTGAATAAGGCACAAAATAAATGATTTTTTTAAAAACGGAATATGTCAATTTGCAGCATGGAATAGAGATAGGCTCAGGAACCAGAACCTACGATCAAACCTAGGTCCAACTCCTGGCTCTGCCATTTCCTAGCAGTAATCTTGGGAAAACACTAGTATAATAATGATTATTTTAAAAAGCTGATGATTCAACTAAATGAATATATGTAAAGTACTCAGTATCTAGCACATGGTGAACACTTAAGTGTCATTAACATTTCTAATTATTTATGCTTTGGGGACTAGAAATGACTTATAATTTTGCTAACCTGAAATGTTTTAACATTCATATCAACAGAATACCAATGCACCATACAGTAAAATACATGAATTACAATTTATATGTAACAGATTCTTCTTCCAAGATTGAGACAATCTAGTAATAGTATACATCATGTAATAAATGAAAATTTTAGGCTATAAAAATTGAGTCTTAAAAGCTATAGCAGACAGGCAAAGAAAACCTTGTAATACTAGGCAGTTACTCAAAACGAATGTTTAAAACTGTAAACATTATTTTCCAAGTTGAGGAAGTAAATAATAATTAGACGCCTGAGATGATGCCAGTGTACTAGTCTTAGAGATACAGGCATTATCTTAAGATCATTGGTTCTCACCTAAACCTTTCCTGCAACCCAGTAACAAAGACTCTCATTGAGAAGGCATATCAGCATCCTGGGGGCTTGGTAGTGGGGCATGTCTGTTTCCAACGCTACACAGGTGACTCTAGGGTATCCTTAGAGAACCATGCATCCCTTCCCCCATCCCCTTTTTAAATTCACTGACATAAAGAATCCTTGCAATCACAACCACTTTTTATTTTGTGAGGCTGTGTGTTTCCTAATTGCAATGAATTTTTTATCTTTAAATAACATAACAATTCAAAATAAACACTGTCCTGGATTTGAAAATGATAGCAGGGAATCACAATTTAACAATTACTGAACAGTTTACATTATTTTTGCAGTTGAAAACTGCGCATCCACCCTCCTTAAAATTCTTCAAGACACCAAAATTTATTCACACCAACAGGATTGAATGAACGGTCAGAATGCTTCAATCTTTCAAATTAAAACATTAAAAGCTGAGAAAAATACCATCAATGACTTCTTGCTGACAAAAAAGCAATGTCAAGTGTATCTTATATGAGCTTTATGAGCTAAAATAATACTTATGAGCTAAAACATACATCTTAGGTGACCTAATTTTTTCAATGTAGCATCACGAGCAATCCCCAACCATTCCACTCAACTGCAATTCAGAAATGTGTTTTAATATATTTATAAGCATTTAATAGCATATCAAACCTGTGCTCCAAAATGTTATACAAGTATGTCTCTAAAGCCTAGATCTGATTTGTACAGCCACACTCGAGACAATGACATAAACTTGACTGATTTTTAATTATTTATACTAGCACTTAAATTCTTGTTTAAATGTCTCATTTAGGATTTTTAATAAATGAAGTTTTTACATCTTTCACGTTTATTAATTCGACAATCTGAGTTGTCCTACTTCCGAAGGTGTTATATGTCATTTGGGAACTGAGAACAATAAAAACATTCTCAAACCTGAAATACCCACACCTTCCTGTAGATAAACATCTAACCATTACAGAAAATTTCCATTAAGTAAAAATCAGAACGTGAAACCCTTCTGCTCTCCATGTTGCACCTGACTTACCACCACTCATGTATGTAAAAAGTGTCCTGAGAATAACGTTCATATTTTTCAATGGCATGTAAAAGTGGAAAATGTAGAGATTAAGAGCATAAGGCTTATAATTCTACAGTACGGATGGAGACAAAATTGAGTGCAATAAAAGCATATTTGCAAGTCTTAAAAGGAAAATTATAACCCAAGACGCATGGGGAAAAATATTTATGTGGAGTTTTTAATCCATATTAGAATTCAGATGTTGTAACTTGACCATAAATTTTAAACAGAAACCAGCTTCTGAGACATACATTCTAATAAATGTATCAACAGTATTGATAATCAATGAAGGGTAGGTTATTTAACCTTATTAGTAACATTTCACTTTCCTATCCAACAAAAATCTATAGTGGTTTGCCCCAATTACATATCTGAAACATTGTCTTATGAAAACAAAATTAAATAAAATTGAAGATAAAAATACTTTAAAGTTAAAATAAAGCAAACTATAATCCTTGGCAGATCAACCGGGTAAAAAACACTGGTGTAAGTTGGAAGCACAGGATAACTGACAAGAATCATCAGCAACAAAGCACATCTTTGAAAATGTGAAATGATGACTCTTTGGAGGACAACAGCTAATATCCAAGAACCATCAGGTTTGAAAAATATTGCTTGATCACTTTCCAAAACACAGCTGCATGAACTGAAGATTTCGTTGAAACTATCAATGTAATCATATTTATTGCATCTTTAGATTGCATTTTGAAACAAATTAATAGTGCACCACAGCTTCACCAAAATATATATTTAAAGGGGTGGGGGTGGGGGGAACCTAAGATATTTATAAACAAGGTATAAACTGTATGTGCTTTTCAAAGGGGCTGAATTAAATATAACCAGCTGCCAACTTTGTGCTCTGACATACTTGAATTAGTGGGGTATGTGTATACTAAATTCATTTGTTTGTCTACAAGAAATGAAATAAAAACACCACCCTATACAATCCACTATTAGCAGTAAGTACAACAGCAAAAAATTATCATACAATTTATACATACTAAAATATTTTCTTTCTCTAGAAATAACTCAGAACAAAGCCTAATCATGATAAGACTTAATTTGGGAAATATCAAATTACAATAGGGAAAAACCAAATCAGGGTGTGTAATGAGCCCAAAACAAAGGTTCCTGGTCATAAGGCTATAAGATTAGTAAGTGCAAGTGGTAGAATAAAGCATGCTCAAATTGTATGTTTGGGTCTTTGTATATTTACCAAACCTTTAAATTAAACAAGACTAGCTAAAGAAATGTCTTAAGCAGAGCAAGATAAATGGGAATTCTGCATTTCTTTTGCCATTTTTGTTACCCAACTTACACAATGTGCAAAGTGCTAAGCAACACTACAGAAACACATTTACATCAACACTGAAGACCTGGGGAAATGAAATTCAACAATTTTATTTTAATGAGCTGTATTTTCTAAATTTTTGTTTTATTTTTTCCTGTTTTCATACAGTATTGAAAACAAAACGCGGCACATTCACATTTTCCCGAGGAACTGTAAAGATGATCTCTACACGGATAAACGTTGTAAAGCCTGAAGCTCAATCAACTGATGTTGAAAACTCTCAAAGGGAGTAAAGGCTTGATCTGAATGGTCTAGAACATGTACTGTAATTTAATAGAAGAGATGGTCGTCTTAATATTTAATGATTTAAAAGAACTTCCCAGTCCATGCGAAGAGTACAGTCCAAGAATAAATCAAATTCCTGAACACATTTTATGCTACATATGTGTATACTTTGCGATCCTCAGGTGTTCGTGCCAAATATTCTCTCTCAATAAGTCCTTCAATACGTTTCTTAATAACAACTGGACTTGGTAGGAATCGAGCCTTCAACTGCTGAGTTACCTGAAAAAGAAAATAGAAAAACTAATTCCTACCAGAAAAAAAATTTTAACTATACCATTTCCATATAAACACACAAAAATTCTTATCTTTGCACAGAACCAATGTATCATTTTAAGACTCAGAGATTAAACTTTAGTAACTGAGTTACCAAAGTTAGAAGTACAGAAAATTTTAAAAAGTTTTATTTGAAAATGTAACGCATGGCTAGAATGCACTTCCTCATACCAGAATGTGAATGCTAAAATGGATTAGTAGTTGACAGCTAAATTAGTTGGAATATATTAGTACAAAAATATACCACCCTATGGTTTAACCATTTTGATGCTATCATCTACTGACTTCTGGGTTACCCTCCTAATTCACAGAACTTGAGCAGTATAATGTGACTAAGAACACAAACTCTGAACCCAGACTACCTGGGTTCAAACCCCAGGTCTACCACTTACTAGTTTTGGGGACTTCTGAATTGGCTGTAAATAGATGTAATGCCTTAGGATAATGCCCATCCATAGTAATAAGTTCTACTGCTGTTATTCTTTTTTTCAGCTGCTGTTAGGAGCCTAAGTATTGTGATGTCACTAAATAATAAAACAGTAATTACAGCAATAGCCACAGTCTGACTGTACTATTTATCAGTCATTTTGTATATATTAGTTTATTTAACCCTCTTAACACTGTAAAGTAGATTGTCTCATTTTACAAAGAGGAAAATAAACCAGAGAGGAAAACTGAAATGGACAAGTAGTAAATCAGAGAGCCGGCAGAGACCTAAACACTCCTGACCTCCAAGTCCATGATTTTCCCACGAATCCACCCTCCCTCTCTTGTAGATCAATCAGCTATCCATAAGCCAGCTTTTCTTTTATCTTGTTGATCAGTTCATCCCCAAAGCCACAATGGACTGATAATTCTTTGAAATCTGAAACTTCAGCACCACTCTGCAACTGAAATCTATCACCGTTCCAGGATTACCACTCCAATATAAACAAACGTGCTCTCAACCCATCTGGGATCTCCAAACCTCTGACCCTCATTCCTCCCAGGCTCTTAACAGCTTCTTCTGACCTTACCTCCTTCCTTATGAGTCCTAGACTGTATTCGAGATCACTTCATCAGCTGTCCTCTCAACAGTACCTTCAACTCCCTGATTCCTTTGGTCCTTTTCTATAAACACCCTTTGATCAAATCTACACTCTACATCTACCACATAATTCTAAACCTACTACAGAGTTCCTTGCTCTGGTAAAGCTGTAGTTTTTACACCATTTGTGTAGACCAGGCCTCAGCAGGCTATAGCCACAGGCCAAATACAGCCACTCAGTGCTTGTTTTTGTAAAATTTTACTTAAACACAGCCACTCTTATTTATTTATGTATTACTATGGCTGCTTTCATGCTATAACTGGCCATTTACAAAAACATTTGCCAATCTTTGGTATAGATTGGTAACACAAACTTATCATATTCAAGTTCAGTAAGTTCCTAAGCACCATTCTTTGAAAGATGATATTTCAAATTTCTGACAAGGTCCTTAAGCCCTGTACCATAACGTACAGAGGAAAAGAGGCCATTTCAGTTCAAAATTCCTTAAATTCCCACCCTACATATATACATTTATCCATACTTATATCTTTACTTTAGCACACACCTGCACCCTGCCCTGGCTTCTCAGGAAGAGGCATATTCAGTAACACCCACATTAATATGTTTACCACCCACTTGTATTCTCTATACAATCTTCGGCTTTCCTTTTCTAGACTTTGGTATTATTTCCTCACCCCCTTATCTTTCCTTTTGTTTTAAGCATCCCATCCTTATCCTTAGGATATAAACATGCTCAGTATCTTTCCATCTAGGAAAAAAAAAATCCTATACTCTTCAATTCAACACTTAATCCTCTAGTACTGCCCTCTTCTTTGCCATTTCCCATGAGCCAATACCTCAAAGTACAAGTGCTCTTGGTGGTTTCCACCTCGATTTACTTCTCAAGGCTCTGCCATTGAATATCCACTCTCACCAGTCCAATGAAAATTTCTGGGCAAGTTTCCCAGTCATCTAACTGACAATATCCCTTAGTGTTTATTCTACTTGGTCTTTTTATGATTTTTGAAATCAGTTACTCCTTGTAATTCTCTTCCCTTGCCATACTATCTTCTTGTTTTCTTTTCTTTTTCCTCTATAGCAGTGTTCTCAGATTTGAACATACCTCAGAATCACCTAGAGTGCTTTATAAAGCCAGATTGCTGGCCCTACCCCAAGTTTCTGAATCAACAGGTCTGAGTGGATCCTGAGAGTGTATTTCTAAAAAGTTCCCAAGTGATGCTGATGCTGTTGGTCTAGGAACCACACTTTGAAAACCAGTGCTCAAAAGGCTTTTCTTTTCCTCAATGTCATTTGCTATTCTCACTGCTCTTTAAATGGCAAAGAGGGGGTCTACCCTATAGTTCTTTCTCTCACTCCCTCCATGCTATCCGTGAGCAATTTAATCTAAACCCACGGTTTTAACTACATCCCCACATAGTAACTTCCCAATTCAACCTGTAACCCTCACTTTTCTCCATTCAGCTGGCCTAAGGATACCTGCCCCTGGATATGCCAAAATACAATAAAGTCAACTTATACAAAATGCTATCAACTGACATCTGGAGCACAGCAGCATATTACTCTTCTCTTTTCGGTTAAAAGGACCATCCTCTGTCTAGTCACTCGAGCCAAAACCTAAGAGGCATCCTCAACTGCTCCCTCTCATATCCCATTATCAGACAGTCAACAGATCCGGTCAATTCTACTTCCTAATTATCTTGATTCAACTCTCTACCCGCTACCAATACTTTAACCCAGGCCCTAATCATCTCTTATCTATTTTAATGACCTCTTAATGAATCATCTCCTCTTTAGTTTCCTAATTTTTAAAATGAAAGCACTCAATAAATGCTGTTATTAATTTTTAGAAATAAAGGTAGTTTGTTTACACAATGTAAAAATAGCAGTAAAGTTATTTGCTTTGTTAACAATATTTTACTATTTTCATTAAAAACATATTAGTTCTTAAAGTGTGGACATATTTTCATATATCATTATGTTTAATTATCAAGTGCCATGCTTCTAAATGAGAAGTGTTACATGACTATAATTTCCTAATTTTAAAATTATTTTTTTAATTAGCTGAATATATTTCCTAAATTTAAATGGTAACTAGAACTTTTATTCTATTTTTTCTACATTAACCCACTCGAAGTATCCTCACCTCTGCTACTAAAACATTGTGCTGCATCTTCTTTCTAGATTTCATTATCCTCACTATAGCAGCTTCTATCTCGTGTTTTCTGTCATCGTCTACTTTCTGCCTTGTTTCTTTCCTTTCAGGGTCAGATTCACCTTGTTTGGCAGCAACTAAAATAGAAATAAAGGTATTTATCATAAATATAACAAAGAAATTTAGTTTATAAGCAAACAATATAATTTACTATTAACAGAGAAAAATCAATTTCGACCTGAGTATACATTCACACAGTTAATAATAATTCAAGTAAACACACAAAAAGTGCCTAATTCAATGTTTACTACAATTCTAAATTATTCTTTTCAAAATCAGAAATTTAATTTTTCTGAGATAAAAAAATAAATTTTGTTTTTATGGAATATAGTAATTACTTTCCTGGAAGAAAAATGGTAGCTGGATATCTTCAGTAGTAAAATTATCAGTAATCAATTTTCATTGCTTGTGACTTCCAGAAGTCAACTAATATTTTACATCATGGCTCCAAGTTAAACCTCACAAAAGTATCTTGGACAGGTGAATATTTGTTGTCTTTCTAACTCAAAATGCAGCTGTAATATCTAAGGCATTAAGAGGAGGAAAGAGTATGTATTGCCAAGATTCTGTCAGCTAAATAAATTTAAAAGTACTACTACAACATCAGTTAAAGGAACGCCATTAACAGTGAAGTAATTCACTTGTACCTCTTGCCAAAATCTCCTTGAATTGTTATCTAACAATTTCTTGTCATATATTTTATTAATTTTTTATGTCACAACCTCATTATCACAAATTCATATAGTCTTTACAAGAGTCTTACTCTGTTTTCCCTACAGTCTTCAAAGCAATTGCTAACGGATTAAATATAGAAGTCCCTTTCTCCTACAACTTTGCTCTAATTGAAGTAGCAGAGAAAGAAAACTAGATAACTGATTTTTTGTTTACTTGGTCATCAAAAAAAGTAGATGTGAAGTTTCTGGAGGCAGAAATTGGAAAATTACAAAGAAGCACAAGGGACACTGATGACTTAGGCTTGGGCACTGCCACGAGACAGTACACTATACAATTTAGAAGATCATTCTGGTGTGCATGTCCATTCAATTGTCTCTAATTAGAATACCTTTGTTAAGAATACTGCTTTCAGTATCATTTCCCCAGTAAAAGATAATCAATATCTTAGCAAAGAAAAAGAACAAAATTAGATTAAAATAGTTTACTCAGAAAGAATAATGCTATTCCTCAAGCCAATGCCATGCAAAAAAAAAAAAAAAAAAAAAAAAAAAAATAGAGGTAATGGTTTAGATTAAATAAAACTAAAGAGACATAAAAATAAAATCAAGTGTAATGTGGAAACATTGATAGAATCCTGGATCCAAAAAATAATGTACAGAAGGGATTTTTGAGACAACTGAAGGCAAATATGGGTGGTACAAAGATAATACGGAATTGATTTTCTTTTGTGTGATATAGTGTTGCAGTGATGTGGGAATATATCCTATTCTAAGGAAGATGTGTGCTGAAGTATTTAGGGGGTAAGCATTAAGATGTTGGCAAATTAATTTCAACTGCTTCAGCAAATACACACACACACACACACACACACACGAAAGGCAGGAGGGTAGGAGAGATAGCAAATGTGACAAAATCTTAATGACTGGTAAACATAAGTCATGGCCACACTGAAAAGCATTATAGTGCTTTTCACCTGTTCTGTAGATTTAAAAATATTTTAAAAGTTGGAGGAAAAAAGAATTTTTTAAATGATCCATTTGGTTCATCTGAATTTGGTCACCTAAATAGGTATACTCCTTACTTATCTGCAGAAAAAGATGAATGGGAAGATTGTGATGGTGACACACACTGCATTATAAGGTCTTTTTAAAATGTGAGGGCAGGTACTCCCTCTCAGAGCCTAGCACAATACTGTGAACTTAACAAGATCATAACAGAAGGTAAGCTTGTGTATGTGCCTACCTATGCATCTATATGTATGCTGAGGGACAGGAGGTTTGAGAAGGCAAGTGATGGTGGTGGTGGTGGAGAAAACTCAATTATAGAAACTGCTGTAGATTACAATGAATCTAATTCTTTTCAAAGGTTGTGTTATTTGAGTAATTCTTTTCACTTCTTTGCTTGAACTCCTATTACAGGCTATAGCAAAAGCAGCATAAACAGGTACAGTCACAGTCTTTAAGTATTTGATTATGTTACTGAGCCTTTGACAATCTGATAAAAACAATGGATATGGGTGCATTATTTTACCACCAAAGAGAAAATTCTGACTTAAAATATAAGAGGGAAGATCATCAAAAAACCATCCCAAAATGAAAAACACTTCTTTGCAGAATTTTATCACTGAAGAAAAGAACTTTAAGAGATCTATCCAGTCAAATCCTTCATCATATATTTCTATACTCCTATTTTAATCATTCCTAGAATACTACACACACACACACACACACACACACACGCACGCACGCACATGCATGTACATAACACCAAAAACTAAAAATCCATGAAGACAAGACTATTTTTTTGATAATACTAATATATGATAGTGTTGCTGGGCATGATAGAATCTGGGTTACAAAGATAGTTACTTATTTGAAGGGTAAAGCAGCATGAGGCTGGATAACTCAGATATCTAGCCCCATATACTCTTATTTTCCTCCAAATCTAGATACAAATGAGCCCTGAAATTCAAAACCTATATCTGTTCTAATCTGTTGAGGCATATATCTTACCCTGTAGGAAAAAAGAAATTTTATTCCATGATACCCATTAGCACAGTTTTGTGTTATTTCATATACACATGGCCCAGTCTTGGCTGATGAAGATTACAATAGATATAGTTTGCAACTATGAGACAAAGGAGTCAAGGGTATAACAGAAACAACCACCCTGCTTTACAAAGCACACACATAAAATAAAAATGATCAAAAAAGAGAACAAATCAAACACATATATAAAGTTCTTGAGTCAATGTATTCTAGTAATCAATTATGTTTTTAAAATAAAAATAGCTGGAGAGAGAGGAGGGAAAGGAAGAATTGGTAAAGGGACATGAAAATCAACTATGCTGTATATTGATAAATTAAAATAAAAAATAAATAAATAATTGAGACCACCAGAGGTGGGAAGGGGGGAGAGATTAGTGAAAAATTAGTAAAGGGCCATGAAAAATGATTACATTGTGTAATGATGAATATATCAATTATCCTGATTTGAGTATCACATACTGTACAGAGGTATTGACATTCAATGCTGTACCCCAGGGACATGTACAATCAATTATGTTTCAAATATATATAAAAAAAAGCAGACAAAAATTTTTGAAGTAAAGGTGAATATGATGTGCAACAAAAATACTCTTCTGTGTTTTTAACTATGTATAAAATTCTTTTAGATTCTACAATAAACAGCAAATTTTTTGAAACAAATAAAATAAAAATAATTTTTATAAGGCATTACACCTTTCATTAATGTACAATATAAATACATTTTAAAAAATCAGATTATAGTCATTTAAAAAAAGTCTTATTTCTCTTATTTTAAAATACCATTTTATTACACAGATATACAAGTTGTAATGGATAATTAGTACTAGGAAGCTTATCCAGTAATAAACAGTTTTGAAACCATGTAGTAAACTGCATTAGTTTTAAATATCTACAAGAATGGAGTGCCTTTTCCCTGCTAAATACATAGAAAACATACCTGACATTATGTTAAATAAATAATGAATACAATTTTCACTACCAATTTAAAAGGCTGTACTAAAAACCGTTCACCACAATATCATTTCTATGTTTTCAAATCAGAGGTACCAACGGGCTTTAAGATTTTGAAATTTAAAATATTTATCAAAATATAAATAGCTCCATCTAAAGATCAATCTTTATATAAGTATTCCCAATTCTGAAAAATCTGTAAATCAGTTTTAAAAATAAGAGTTTCACTGACTATTAGTTAACTCAACCAGTTAAAAACAATTATAGGCACTTCTAACATGATCATAAAATTTTATCCCATTTATTGAAAAACATATAGAAAGTACTTTGTTCACACTATAAGTTACTTTTTAAAATGCTTACTGTACTTGGATTCAGCTACATTTTGATACACACATACTAATAAAAGCTTTCTTTCTAAAGCCTAAGTCATGAACAATCAGAAGAACATTATTTTTTTAAAGACAGAAATCCGACACATGAAAATTTTTTCTAGAGAAGAAAATATATAATTTTTTTAAGAGGAAAACATAATTCCAGATACCTGTTTGAATCTTGACTCTGTGTAGTTTGGATGTGAACTGATCATTAACTGTAAATATGTGACCATTTTCTATTTCCTTTGACTTGGGTTCTTTTGTAAGAACCCGCTGTGTTGGTTTACCACAGGCGAGGGACTGTAGGGCTCTAACAAGCTCTCTTTCAGGGATATCTGTCTCTTGTTGAATTTCCTGAAATTTCAGCAGATTGACATAATTAGACCTTTTGAAAGATTACAGTATGTTAGTTCATTAGCAAGTAAACTGATCAAGCAGTTAGAGAGAGGTAATTCATTAAAGAAATAATTTACAACACAGAATTCCCTAAATACTATGGCAGGTCACTAAAATTTCATTATTTGAACAAACTAGAGGAAAGGTTGATCAAATTACAAAATATTTTAAAAACGTAGATTTTTGTTTCAGGAAATACAATGCCTAAAAATGTCATTCTGCAGAGAGTATTAGGAACCTGCTTTAATACTTAGTAAAAAATAGTGTTAACGAGCATATAACGTCTACTTTAGAAATAGTTTACAATCTTCCTTCCAAGATTATTCACTCTACTCTTTTGCTTAGTAACTTCTTTCATACAAACAAGCAAGGTAAGCCTAAGCACAGGCCTTTAATCATACAATCAAAATTTATAATCCAAGTTGACCATATTTACTGCCTGTAAGACCAAATAAAAAAAAATTTAAATACCTGGAAATTAACACTAAACATGAAAATCAATAAGAAATCTGTTTTGAAGTTCAGGTGATAATTTTTGCTGCATATTATGGTATAAATAAAATGCAACACTGGAAAAAAAAAAAAAAGAAAGAAAATCAGCTGGGGAGAGAGTGATGTATAATTTTGTTTTACTTTGGGCAACTGGCCGATATGGGATCCAAACTCTTGATGGTGGTGTTATAACACTGCACTCTGACTGAGCTAACTGGCCAGCCCTGTATAATTTTTAACTTACTATTCTCTCATATGTCAATGGGACAGCAAGAGAACTGTACACTTATACAGTTTAGTCTCTACATGTCTACAGGATGTGTATTGAGTAAAAGTCTTCACACTAGGATTTATTACTCTTTACTATTCTCTCATATGTCAATGGGACAGCAAGAGAACTGTACACTTATACAGTTCAGTCTCTACATGTCTACAGGATGTGTATTGAGTAAAAGTCTTCACACTAGGATTTATTACTCTGATTCACTGTATAAAGGTGTTTCTTTCTCCAAAGCAGCTCAGGAAGAGTGGTCATGACGACGGTGATATTCAGATGACCTGAATAACTCATCTAGAAGTCATTCACCCTATCACCAGAGACTTTGAACAACATTTTGTTTTTTCCAAAGGACTGTCCGGTAAGTGAGGATTCAGAGAAATGTGAATTTCAGTGGTCATGCATATTCCTTTGCTATATGTCTACCTACTTTACACCTTTCAAATACTGTGAATGTTAATTCCGGACACTCAAACAGGTGCCATTAATTATTAGAATAAAGATGGTAATTATTACAGACATGCTAAAAGTGACTTATTTACATATTTTAGTTATTCCTTAATTGTATTCAAAGCACTAGAAATACCTTCTTAGGTGATCATTCTCAGAGGTCACTACTGTAATTCACTATGTATCCTTCCTTCCATGCCTTTTCCTATTCATTTATATATACACATGAATACAAATACACACATATACATGCATGTACACAAACACACCCACTTTTACACAAGTATTAGTGTTAAACATAAATGGGATCATAACATATGAATTTTTCCATTAATTTCTTCAGATTTTTCATGTTAGCATAGAGAGATTAAAGTTACAGGCAATTCCACAGTACTGCTCTAACACAATATGGATGAAAGATTGACACTGTATCCAGTTTTGCATTGGTACATGCTTTTCTGTTTTTGAACACAAATGTTAGTTTTACTGAAGCAGATTTGTAGAAATGCACTTGCTTCCTCAAATTTATAAACATTTTATATCTGATAGATACTGACAAATGGCCTTTCAAGTTGCTTAACAAGTTAATCCCCACGACCACAGTATGAGAATATCCACTCCCTCACTCTCTCTTCAATATCATATTTTCTTTTTCTTTTGGGCTAAAACGATATCTTATTATTTTAATTTGTACTTCCCATGACCACTAGGAAATAAAAAACATCTCTTTATAGGATATTTGTAACTCTTTTTCTGTGCTTTGTTCAATTCCTTGCATGTTTTTCTACTCAATTGTTTGTTTTCTTACTGATATATTGGTGCTTTTTCAGTGTTTATCTGTTACATGTTGTAAGTAATTTCTCCCAGTCTCCATATCTTTTTAACATATATTTCATCATATAAATGTTTTATTACATTTTATGTCATTAGATGTCAGACTTTTCCTTTGTGGTTTTTGTAACAGGTTTTTTTTTAAAGGCCTTTCTCATATCAAGGTTATAAAATACTCCATATCTTCTTCTATAACTTTTATAGATTTGTGTTTATATTTAGATTTTCACATCTATCTGGAATTTAATTTTTTATCTGATGTGAAATATGGAACTAAGTTCCCAAAACTATCATCCTCCCACTCCAACAAATAATAAAAATACAATTATTTTAATTCAGCTTGATTAGAAATGACAAATTTATCACATCCCAAACACCTACAAATACATATCAATTTGCTTCTAGACTCTCTATTTTGTTCAAATGAGCTATATGTGTACGCATTTTTAAAATAACTAACTTTATGGTATGTTTTTGTGTTAGGACAAATTCCTTCTCCTTTCACTAGGCTCCCCCACTCTGGACACCTCCCATTCCAAAAAAAAGTTTTGCCTATTCTTATGCATTTTCCTGTCCATATGAATTTTGGGATCAGCTTGTCAGGTTTCATTCAAAAAAAATCTTTGGATGATTGACTGTGATTTCACTGAATTTATAGATGGCTTTAAAAAAAATGACACTGTTACAAAATGTAGTTTTCCCATTTGGGTACATTTATCCTTCCGTGTTCTTTTACTTTTATTGTCTTCTTTGTACAAGTCTTCTACATTCCTTGTTAGAATAATTCCTAGGAAAGTTATAATTCTTGATAAAATATCATTTTCCTCATGTCATTTACTGATTAATGCTGATTTATAGAAAAGGTGACTTTTCAATGGAACTCATCTGAGAGAATGCTTTCTCAGTTAATTATCACGAATTACACCAAGTTGACAATCATATTGTCTTCAAATTTTGAAAATTTTATCAATCCTTCCCAATGTTTATAAATTTCTAAGTTAAGACCTGCAGAGGAAGACGGAATAGTAGTACTAAAGATATGCATCCTTATCTTGTTACTAACCCTAACAGGCAAGTGTCTAGTATTTTACTACTAACTACTGCCTTGCTTAAATCTGTCATTAGATACAACCTTATGACATTAAGGGCATTTCATTTTATTCTTAGGTGGCTAAGAGTCCCCCACCCTAGAAATAAGAAAGGGGGACTTTTATCATATGCTTTTTTTGTGTATCTACAGAGATCATCAATTTTTCTCCTTAAAATGGTGTCTAGCAACTAAGCAAGTGCTTAATTTTACTAATATCTTTTTAATTGTTATTATAATACCTTAATATCTATCTTTAACAAATTTCATTATGCTGAACCACCTTCTTGGTATTCCAGGAATAAATCCTACTGGATACAGTTCATTATTCTTTCAATACACTACTAAATATGACGTGCTAATATTATATTTAAGATTTGTGTATTTGTGTTGAATAATCTACAGCTTTTTTCTCTTTCTTTTTTGTATTTTCCTTGCTCAATTTTAGTAATATATTTATGTCAGCCTCAGATATTTCCTAAGAACAATATGTATATTTTGCTTTCTGAGTTCAAAATTTTCTATACTGCTTTAAATTTTCACTTGCTAATTGTGTTACTGAAATCTTCTATATTCCCCTTTTAAATTGCCTGGTTAGTCAGTAAATTTGGTATTTCTGTGGCTGTGAAATTGTCTATTTCTCCTTGTACTTCCAACCATTTCTCCTTCTATGTTGTGAAGTTATGTCACTAAAAACTGTAATAGATTCTTGATGAAATAGCAAATACCACTGTTGTTTAATGGTTTTCTATTTAAATTCTACTGTATGACATTAATATTGTTATTGTCCATAATTAGCTTTTATATTTGAGACTCATTCTCAGAAAAATTTTTAAAATATAATAAAGAACATTAAGAAAAATATGTATTAGTAATTATTATCCATCCCTCTTTCAAAAACCAAATGCTAGTTACTAAAATCCAAGGTATAGACTATCACCGTATATACTTCCTACTTTTAGCTATTGTAAATCACAATAAACTTCTATTCATTCAAAACATATATAATATGAGGAAAAGGTCTCAGCAGCCTGCCTACTATGGCTTACATGTGATACTACAATTCATCCTACCCGTTGTAGCCAGCTCCCAAGACAGCTCGTAATGATGCTGGTGTATTTTAACCTTATGTAGTCCTGTTACCTATCAGGGCTGACTTGGGTAAGTATGTGACTTCCAAGGATAGGTCATAAAGACACTGCAGGTTCTGCCTAGGTCTCTTGGGTTGCTGACTCTGGGGAAAGCTAGTCACCAGGATGGCAGGACAATCAAACAGCCACGTGGAAAGGCCCATGTGGAGAGATAGTAAGGCCTCTTACTAACACCCAAAACAAACTCGCCAGCCATATGAGCAACCTTGGAAGGGTGTTCTCCAACCCCAGGGCAACTGTTAGATGACTAAAGCCCCAGCTGACATCTAAATGCAACCTCATGAAAGACCCCAGGCCAGAACCACTCAACCAAGCCTCTCCTGAATCCCTAATCCACAGAAACCATGAGAGATAAATTTTAGCAGTTGTTTTAAAAGTTACTAAGTTTTGGGCTGGCTGTGGCTCACTTGGGAAAGCGTGGCACTGATAACATCAAGGCCACGGTTCAAATCCCTATATAGGGATGGCTGGTTAGCTCACTTGGGAGAACGTGGTGCTGACAACACCAAGTCAAGGGTTAAGATCCTTGCAATGTTTTCAGACCAAAATGGACTAAACCTGGAGATAAACAATAAGCAAATTGCTGGAAGCTATACAAATACATGGAAAATAAATAATAGGCTCCTGAATGACCTATGGGTTCAAGAAGCAATTAAATAGGAAATCAAAA